CGTATAATCTTGGTAAGTGGGCTACTGTAGGGTATACCCGAATTCTAAGTAGGGTTGTGAATTATGAGCCGGGTGATAAGTAGTTATCATGTCCCATGAACCTCTAAGTAGCGTCCCCAAATCACTGAGGTTTACCGCGCGTCTTGACAGAGCTATCAAAACATGTTAACATCAACAAGTGAAAGCTGGAAGCTCAAATAAAACTCTCAAATCTGCGCACACTCAATAACCATAACACGAATCCTAGTAGGGGTATTCATGGCAGACTGGTTGCTCTCCCGTGTTGAGGGTGACAGTGCCACAGCACAGTGCCACAGCAGCTAAATTATGCTCTCATCACAACGCCCGTAACTCTTGATGTAAAGCAGAGGAGTGTGAGAGTCGGCGTACAAAAACAATAACCATAATCTTGCACAAAGTCAGGAGATTCAGCATCAAGAGCAAACAGGGCAGCCTAGGACGCTCCAAATGTTACATGCCGCTTTGTGAAGCAAGTGGGTAGCAAGTTGGTGTAGGTTGAGCGCAGGCGGTTCGCTCATTGCCATACCATCATCACCAATGCCACGATGACCGCGTTCTACCTGTACTTGTCTGGCTACCCTGCAAGTCTACCATCATTCCAGTTTTGACAATTCTCAGGATGGTGCCTTCCATTGCTTGAACCAAATCGTGCATTCTAAACCCTGTAAACCCTCTATTCTCATACACCCTTTAAAGCTTGGGACCCCTGCAATTAAACCCTCTAAACTCAAAAAAACTCTGAGCCTTCTACTCCTACCCTAAAAGCCCTATAGACCCTCTCAAGCCTCTAAACCCATAACCCCATGCACGTTTTGTTACCCTGAACATTACACCCGATAAACCCTATAGAGCCTACAGACCCTGTGAACCCTACCGACCCTACAAACCCCCTATAAATCCTACAGACCCTGCACACCCTATAAACCCTATAAACCCCAGAGGCGCTATCAACCCTGTAGAGCCTACCAAACCTCAAAGCAACCTGGGCTGCCCTGCATCCTTCCGCGCAGACGCCAGGCGGTCCAGCAGCCGGCCCAGGCCCTTCCGTGGGTTGGCCCTGCAGAGCTTGGGAGGTTTGGGTTTAGGGTTGTGTAGGGTTGTTCAGGTTTTAGGGTTTAGGCTTTCTGGTTCAGCGTTCGCAGGTTTGGTATACGGATTGTATAGGGATTATATTCTCTTACTCCCTGCTGAGAGCCAGCAAGTTTAGAATGACAAGAAATCCCGCATGACCCTGAGTACCTTATGCTGTGAAATCACGGGCATGGGGCTTCCGAAGGGGCTAAGGGGTTTTCGCGCGTCATAGGATGAGTACAGCAGATTCGGGCCGCTTTTTGAAATTAACACTCAGATTAGTGGTCCCTGCATTATAGATCCCACCATATTAGCTAAAACCAGGGACCTTCCTTGACTCAAGGCCGCTTGCGTCGCTCGCTTTTTGTTGAGACTGTTGTGATTGCAATGTTCTGGATTCTCCTCTATGCACCAACTGTTCTCAGTGGGGGCACGACAGCTGTTACTAGGAAATGCTTGAGAAACAAGCACCAGCTGTGAGGCATCGATGAATCATTGAAAGCAATTCCAACTCAGTTCGAAGACTGTAAAAACGACGCGAAGATAGATATCCTCAAGCCAGCCACAGCAACTGCCCTAAAGCCCTGTGTTCACAGGCTTGACACATCTTCACACCCTGAGCTCTTGAGATCAAAGCTAATTCCCAAACTTGAATCTGCAAGTGTCCTGGCAGTTGGCAATAAATGCTGATCTCTATGTTCAATGTACGGATGTGTGGCTGTACAAGGACTATCCTTGCACTAGAAACCGGAGAACCAATAACCAGGATCATGATCGTAGAAGTACTGGCAGGCATTCCTGGCCACAGAATCAGTTGCACAGAATTATTTGCGAGGAGCGTCTTCATCATGAGAGCAACTCTTGCCGCATCTGCTTTTTGCAGCCCAAGAGTGTGAGTGCCGAGACGCGCACATGCCAAACCTGCCGGTAGGCGACTTCAACCACGGCCCCACCTCATCTGCAGAGTCACCACTGGCAAGGCGCAAAGAGTCGCGGCCAACAACATCTCGACTTGTGGGGCAGTACATATCTGCATCTCCTTGCATGGCTGCTCTGGCTTGCCATGTGGTACTTCCTACTTTCTATTTCGCAAGATCAGGTCAATGAGGGCCTTGGTGACTTGCGCTGAAGGAAGCAGCATTACGTTTTCGCTTGATGTCTTTCCCTTTGCCTGCAGCAGTCCCTGGCTACCGGGTTTAGTATGTAGGCTTTAGGATTCTTATGTTCATTCAGCATGCGGCTAGGTGTCCCAATATGGGTTCCAAGATGCCAAAAATGAAAAATGGATTCCGCGTAAACTGTTGGGTCAGTGTATATCTTAAAGGGTTCCTGAAATATCGGAAGCCAGATCCACCCACCGCCCTCCGCCCTCCACATCTCCCACATCCCTCCCTGCTCCACTCTCCACACCCTCCACCCTACCCTCCACAGTGGGTGGGTTCGGAATCCATTTTTGAAACCCACCTTCAGGGTCAAGATGCCTAATTTTTGTTACTGCTTAGGAACAGAATGGATCGCAAATGCTTTCCAAATGGATTCCAAATGCATTCCAGTTGGATTCCAGATGGATTCCAAATGGATTCCAATCTGGGTCCAAACTGTGCAAATATTCGTTGAAGTGGATTCCAAATGGGTTCCCAATCAATGAAAACGGATGACGTTTGGGTGTAAAAGGATGGCAAATGGTTGAACTATGGATTGGATTTGAGTAAAATGGGTTCCAGACTGATGAATTTCGATAAACAATTGCATGGAACAAATTTCAGGCCGCCGTCAAGTGGGTTTCAGGTGGATTCCAAATGGATTCTAAATCAAGCAACATGCATCCCGTGCTTGTCAACTGCATCTGGTATTGGCTCTATCCGTCTAACCATCCAATCCAACTGAGCGTCACATGCAGTAGCCGGAATCACGGGTCCATGGTAGCTTACATGGGGTCAGCAAACTCAAAACCCATGTTGTATTCACAAGGGTTGAGCACGACAAAAGGAATCGATTTCCAGAAATGTTGACCCATTCTGACCCTGCTGTGGGATATCGGGGGCTTCCAAAAAATTACCCCATAATAAGGATTATACTATTTTGGGGGCATATATTGGGTCCCCCTATTCATGGAAATAAACCCTACCATATCACCAGACTCACGGGATGATGGGTCCATCTTGAGAATTCCGTACTTGATAGGTTGAGAGCCCTCCCTTCCACTCAATTCTACTGGGGCCTGCATATCATCCCTAATTCATCCCTACATAATCCGTACATAACCCCAAAACCTCCAACCCTAAACCCTAAGAATCTCCCCCAAAGAGGCTTTTCTGTGGAAGCTCTTGGGCATCCTGCGAGTTGTGGCCGCGCTGCCACAGCGCTGGGTCGCAGCAGCGGCTTCAGCATCTGCGGGGTTTCCCAAAATTAGGTGTACTTTTTTGGGGTTCCCTATAGCAAGTGTTTGGGGGTCTATAATATATTGGGGCCCCCGATTTACGGAAACGACTATCTGAGGGCTAGAAGGGGGAGGGGACTACGATGCCCAATAGAGAACGAAACCATGTTTTCCTTTTGGCGGTAGTATATTCAAGAAGCGGGTTCTGGTAGTCCCAACACCAAAAAAATAGGAATCCTACTAGAGTCATATGATAGTCATGGGCTCCTGATTTGGGGTGTTCGGGCCCCTTTTACAAAAAGAAGAATATTCTTCTCCTGAGTTCAACCACCAAAGAAATCTCAGTGTCCCTGATCAAAAAACTCCTCCAGAATAAATGATGGTAGCATAGTGCAGGTGGGGCGCTATTAAGAGGAGGGGATTAGGGCTGAGGGTTCAGGGTTTAGGATTTAGGTCAGGGCTTAGGGTTTAAGGATTTTAAGGTTTGGGGATTAGGGTTTACTGTCTAGGGCCAAGGTTTCTTAATATGCCTCTTGAAAAACACAACTCATCTGCAGGCAAAGGACTTCCCAGGACCCCCCCCCCCATTTAGCCTAATGCCACTTGAGCTATAGTCTGAACTCCTAGTATCCCCCTACCCCTAAACCCTAAACCCCTATAGTACTTCCCTATATATATCCCTTGTATAACGCCCTTTACGGAGTTTAGACTGCAGCTCACTTAGTTGCAGGGGGCTTTGTATGACGGGTACATGGGGAGCCGGGGGTTTAGGGTTTTGGGGGTCTATGTTGGGGTCCCCATTGGTGCTGGCAACTACCATAGAAGGTCTGTATACGGTTATGCATAATTATCTAACGGGTACCTAGTTTGCTTGGATTCAATATATGTCAGGAAATTCCTCAACTGAGGAGCACTAGGTTCCTCGAGGACTACACCCAGGAACACGGGACCAACGCCCCCAAAAGTACCCCATAACCCTTTTGAGATGTTTGACCATAGTGGGCCTTTTGAAGCCCTCAATCATTTCTCTTGTAGGCATGAAACATATGGCCTTGTCCTTAAACGATGGTTCCAAGGTACAAGAACACTCTAAGCACCTAAGCCCTAAACCCTGAACTCCTGGGTCAAACAGCACTGCCTGGAATAGCTTCTCAGCCACTTCTTGCGCCAGCTGGCCCTCATGGAAAGCCTGCACATAGTCATAGACGAGGTGTGAGAGCCCGGCCGGGACTTCTTTTTCTTGGCGCTTCATGGAGAACCCAAAACCATCACCCTATATAATACCCTCTTAGGATTGAAGAAAATGGAAACTACCATGCTAGAGGGGCCCTACAGTCGCTGCACGACTGCCGACATAGCAGTAGCCATGATCAAGTCCCTGTCAGCTCTTTCATTTCGAACGATCGCAGCCCACTTTGTCATGCTGAAGCCGTCCTTAGAAGCTGAAACCTGCAAAGCACATTGGCAGAGCAGCGGAACGAGATTTCACATTTGTGAAATGTCAAGCAACATGCTGACAGAGCAATGTTTACTGTGTCAGCATCTCCTTAAGAGGTGGAGTGACAATGTCTGAGATGAAAGGCTCCGCCAAGGCTGCTAAGGATATCACGAGGCCTACGAAGTAGGCCTTGCTAAGGGTGAGGCCAAAGACCTGCATCTTCAGAAAGCCTTGTGAGAGCCACATGTAGAGGACGGGATCGATGTTGGCCTCGTCACCGGCACACTTTTCCAAGAAGTCGTTCCACGCTACAAGAGGCAGCACCTGAAGGCAAAGCAATATGAAGATCGTGAGACAGTTGCAAGCGAGCACGGGCACAAACTCGCTGACCTCGTAATGAACAAGCAGGCGATAGGCCGCCATGCCCCCAGTCATCACACCAATAAAGTCCAGGACAAAGCCCACCTTGATCATCAGCCTCCAATCTGAGAGGATGTCCTGAACTTTCCAACCCAAGGTCTCCAAGAGTGCCTTCACGTCTCCCCGCTTCTCGTTTCCGGCAGAAACATCCTGAAAGAAGATCCCGGCAGTGCGGGTCAGAAGCGAACACTCCGCTGCAAAGAGAAGAGCATTTAGAAGCCGATGCCACACTAGAGGAAGCCAAAGCAGAACCTAAAACAGATCTGACGGGCCGCTACAAATCAGAATTCTGCTTACAAAACATGGCCGTAGGACAACTGGAAAGCAGGTTCACATCTGCCCCAGGAGCATAGAAAGCTATTGGGCGTACCACGGCGAAAGTGCGCTTCATCTGCCAGTCCCCAGAAGCCTCTATGGTGCCATAGCGGGCATACCTGGTTTAGGATTAAATGGTGGGACCTCTCACATTGACTTGTAGCTGCTGTAGCTCTACAGGTCATTGAGAGGGGGGTACGCGTAGCTGAGTCCAACTGAAAATTTCAACTTTCTGACCTGTAGTCCCTAAACCCTAAACCCTAAATCCTAAACCCTAAACCGTCCCAGTGGTAGATCCTGACCATGAACCCTCAAGTAGCCGCCCCTCTTTTGAATTCTGAAGGCTTAACCCTAAAACGTAAGCCCTCAACCGGAAAGAGATTGACTGGGCGCTGTGGGGACGATGCAAAACAGTGAAAGTTGTGTTTTCTGAGGAAGGCAAACTGGGAACCACAACTTTGAGAAGGGTTTAGGGTTCAGGCTGAAGGGTTTGGGATGCTTTGCTTTTACCCTTCGGACCTTTTCTGGGTCTGCGGCCACCACACAGGGATAAAGCTGTGAATTCTACTCACACAAACAAGTGCCCTCTTAGGGTTTAGGGTTTAAGGCTTAGCGTTCGGGGTTTAGGGTGGGATGAAGGTAACTGGGTTGAAGGCTCCCTATTGTTGATTCCACTTTTTGGGGGGCTTATTCCGTATACCCCACCTTTCCTTACCTCTCCCTCTAAGCCATCTGAGTCTCAATCTTTAGACCTAGAAATCAAACCGCATGTGACACAGACATGCATCTGCATATGCACATAGCCCATAGTTCTGCAGATATCCTACATCCTTACATAATTTCTTCCCTGACTGCCCCTGAAACCTTTAGCAACTCCTGCCTCAGGAAGAACAAGGTCCCACTCATGCTCAACATGGCTGCAAATGCAACGGTCACCTTCAGTGTGACCTGACTGCTGATTCAAACTTGGCCCCTTCGAGACCGTGCTTGGAGGCCCAAGGTAGTTGTGACCAAGTTCAAAGTGTAGTTGAACCCAGTTGTAAGCTCCTATCCTTCGGTGATCAAAACCTTGTGCCTCTATGCAGGGATGCTTGGGGATTGCCACGGCGCGATGGGACTAAATCTATGTAGAACCCTCACAGCCATACTAGTATCCAAGCCGCCATTAACCCCAGCATTAACCTAGCTACGAAGCCCTTGGCAAGGAATTGTTTTGAAAACCGTCTGGATTAGTAAAGAGCCGGTGATTTAGGCTTAGGGATTTTAGGGGTGCATGCATCTGGGTCAGTACAAGGCCCCATCCGAATAATTGTATGTTTCACCTATGCTGGGAAAGCCAGTAGCGTTCTGCAAAGTAAAACATCAATCCAGACAATAACCCATACGCATGCAGGTCCTTAACTACTTGAAAGGCCTAAACCCAAAACCCCTACGCCCTACACCTTAAACCCCAAAAGTCCTACGCCCTAAACGATTAGGCCCTTTAAACCCTGAAATCCTAATACCCAAACCCCAAACTCTGGACCCTAAACCCTAAATCCTGAACCCTGAACCCCCAAAACCCTTCAATCTCACCTCCTTGGAGCTTGGGAGAGCTGCCTGGTTGGGCCGCAATACCGTAAAACCGCAGATGTCTGCTGCAGCCTCTCCCTTCGAGTGCCTGGGTGGGCTTAGGGTTTAGGATTCAGGGAGCCTAGGGAGTTTAAGATTTGGGGAGTTTAGGGTTTAGGGCCCCATCAAGACTTTCATGGCTTTGTAGGCATTATGTGCGGCTGCGGGGTCATAAGAATTCAAGATCCTTTTCAAACCTACCCCTGGATACGGGTGCCTTTAAAGGTCTTGTAGGGACATAATGACATATGAGCGGACCCCCGAATTCCCTACCTTTTGATATTTCTTAACCCTCCATGGCTCACTGAAATACTTTCTCATCTTGCGCATGGAAGCTCCTCTTTCCTTGGCCACGCTGGGCCAGCTATGTTAAACAGCGGTGAACTCATGTCAGACAGTGACAGAGGTCCAGCAACAATGTGGGTGGCCAGAACCCTGGTTTTACCAAACTGAAAACATATAAACCCAAAATATCTTTAACAAACCAATTCTCAAAATGGCCTTCCACGGCTTTTGAAGGCTTCTCCAGAATAAGACCTACCACGCTTTTCCAATGCAAAATCCGTGTCCATCCATGCACCTGCACGGTCTCCAAACCCACCACAAGCGCTGCCATGAAATCTCTACGCTAGCAACCCATACAAACCAACAAACATCAACCAGCAAACAGACAAACAAACAGACAGACAGTCTGACAAGAAGATGCTGGTTGCACCCAACACTTCTTTCTTTCTCTTTCAAGTCAAAATGCCCCTGTAAGCCTATGAGCTTCTTGGAAATCATTCTGAACAAGAGCTTCGTTCCATAGTTAGTAGAGCCTGCTTAAAAGATGCTTGAAACATGAAGTTTGCTCTTATTAGGCAAGGATAGTGATTTTGCAGGCACGATTCTAACGTAAAAGTACTAAAAATACTGAGAGGCATTGTACGCATGGTCACAAATGTCGGATTGAGACAGTTGGAAATGCGGAACATTTTGACATGTGGAATCTCGCAGTGTGGAGTTTCGGAAATGTGGCATGTGGAAATCTGGAGATTTGCAAAGATGGGGACGTGAGGAACTCGCGAAATCGAAGAATCCCAGCTAAGCGAGATAGGGAATGTTGAGGCAGAGGCGATCGTAATGATATATATATATACATATATGGGCATGCAGGCATAGAGCGGCGTATAAATATCTAATTATATACACCTACATCAGACGTATATATATATATATATTTATACCATATATGTATGTGTGCGTACATATACATTTATAGAAATATACACATATACACGGAGTTTCCGGGTATAGGGTTCACAAACAGCAGGGAACATGGGTAATTACTACAGAAGGGGTATCTTTGCGCATTATGTAGTGATTCACTTCCCAATTCCCCCTGAACCCAAAAAACATTACGCTCTAAACCCTAAACACTATATAACCCCGTTTCAGTGGTTTCCACTTTCTTTTCCAGTATCCCTTTATAACCCAAGATAACCCTAATATCAACACCGATATGCGCTAGTAGTCTTAAGATCTAGCAAGTTGCATGTAGCTGGAGAAGTGTGCGTAGGAGCTCTCCTTGCCCTCTTCCCTTCTCTGGGCGTAGGTCGCATCTGACATCTCGTGCGCATTCGGATACATCTCCATCCACTGCTTGCGAGGCCCATAGATGTAGAGCCACTCGCGCAGGCGCTGCTTGGCCGCCCTACTCTCCACGAGGCTGCTAAGGGCAATGCATGTGAAGTGCACGGCCAAACATGTTGGGAGGATGCCTCGGAAACATCAAAACCCGTGTAAAACCCCTACAAACCCCCAATAATCCCTAGATAACCCCAATATAATCCCTA